ATGGGGGAGGGGGGAGATGAGATTAACCAAAGATCTTGTATGCATACTAGAGGCCCCGTGCATGGATTTGTGCACCAGGAGTCCCTAGGCCTGGCCTGCAAGGATCTGGCTGAAACTGGCTCTCCGACATCCCCCGAGGGGTCCTGGATTGTGAGAGGGTGCAGGCCAGGCCGAGGGACCCCACCAGTGCACGAATCCATGCACTGGGCCTCCAGTAGAGTATATATGTCTCAGTAGGTGTACACTCCCATAGATTCATTACGCTGATGTCGTTGTTACTTTTGACTCTTTTTTCTTTGAAGGTGCGAGGTGGGAACGAACAATTGGGTTCAGTGCAATGACTCCCCCGTAAAAATCTGCAAGTACCCCGTGACGGGGCTGCTGGAAGGGCGGTCGTACGTGTTCCGCGTCAGGGCGATCAACAGCGCCGGCGTCAGCCGGCCGTCCCGAGCCTCGGAGGCTGTGGCTGCCCTCGACCCTGCTGACCTCACCAGGTTACAAGGTGGGTCCCTAAGAGGTCAGGGTCCCTAAGATGCCAGGGTCTGGCTAGGACTGGGGCACATGGGGCCGTGTTGTGTGAGTCTTCCTTTCTCCCTACCCCCCGGCGGTGTCTGAGCCTCGAGGACATGCTCATGGGTGGGGAGGGCCAGAGAGGGCCGAGGTCTCCCGTGGTCTTCCGTGGTCTCCCGTGGTCTCCTGTGGTCTCCCGTGAATGCCCTGGGGGAGTGGGGAGCTGGGCCGCGGTTTATACCTCAGTGCACCTTCCTGCCGCCCTCCACTGGAATCCAGTTACCTGGGCACAGAATTAGGCTTTGCCAAGCCCACTGAGGGTATAGTTTCAACACACCAAGAGCCAGGTGTGGAAACCGAGCCACTCTATTTTGGAATTTTAATTTCACACGATGCAGGTTCCCCAGTGGGATGGGACCCTTAGTTATGCTCTTAAGGGAACCCCTGCGTGTCCCTTACCTGCATGGCCTCTTGCGCCCACTGCAAAGAGCGGAGAAGCGCCGAACATCGTCCGGACCATTTGCACAGAGGCAGCTCTGATGACCTCAGGGCAGGGAAAATGCCGTCACCATGGAGCAAAGGCGATTCGTGCCTCATAGGCAACGAGGGAAATGGTGCTTTTAAAAATATATTCTATTGATTTTTTACAGAGAGGAAGGGAGAAGGATAGAGAGTTAGAAACATCGATGAGAGAGAAACATCAGTCAGCTGCCTCCTGCACACTCCCTACTGGGGATGTGCCCGCAACCAAGGTACATGCCCTTGATCGGAATCAAGCTTGCGACCCTTCAGTTGGCAGGCCAACGCTCTATCAACCAAGCCAAACTGATTAGGGCAGAAATGGTGCTTTTTAAGTATTTTTATTGATTTCAGAGAGGAAGGGAGAGGGAAAGAGAGAGAAACGTCAGTGATGGGAGAGAATCATTGATCGGCTGCCTCCTGCACGCCCCCTTCTGGTGATGAATCCCGCAACCCGGGCACATGCCCTGACTGGGAATCAAACCGTGGCCTCCTGGTTCATGGGTCGCGATGCTCAACCTCTGAGCCACGCCGGGCGGGCAAAATAGTGCTTTTTAAAGAGACCCTTGGATGTCAAATTTAGTGTCAACCTTTCTCTCTGCAGCCGTCCGTTTGGGGGAAGATAAAGAAATTGTGATCTATCAGGATGACCTGGAGGGTAAGTCGCTCTCACCCCCGGGGACTGGGTTGTAATTCGAGGCAGGAGAGAGAGGGGAAGCAGCTGGTGACAGGGACACCCTCACAGTAAATGGAGCACCTGTGGGTCGGACCTGCAGACTTGAGGCCTGGAGAAGCTGAAAACAACACAAGACAGAACACGGGAGTGAGACGAGGCGTCCCATGTGGCCGATCATGGACACTGTTGTGTTATGTGGGGTCCAGGGCTCATTCCTTTGGGGACGGGGAGAAGCAACCAAACCGGCCCCGAGGCTTGAGGACTGGCGGGAGCGGGTTCCTTCTCACACCGCCCGTTCCTGGGCCAGTGCTCAGCATTGTCTGGGCAGCAGTTTCACTTCTACTATTTCACTAAACGGACTGGCCTCACCCCTCCCATCACGTCCCTGTTAGATTCTGTGAGTGCTTCTCCATCTCCTCCCGCAGCCGTCCAGGAAGGGCGACTCGCCGAGAAGGAGGGGCTCGCGTTATTGGTCCGAAATCCAAAGATTTTAGTTGGGCCCATAATCAGAGGACAAAGTGTGAACATTTAAAATAAAAATAGTTCGTTAACACGGAGCCGCCGCCTAAGGAGATGCACTTCGAGCTCCCCTCCCAATGGCCTCGGTCCCACGGCGTCCCCAGAGGACCCCTCGGGGGAGTCCGCTGGTTGGCTTTCCTATTTGCCCCCGAACGGTGCTCGGCGGCCGTCCCTTCTCGAAACCACGCCCCAGGGCAGCCTGGGCTGTGTTGGTTCCTGGTGGCCGATCCCCCACCCCATGCCCAGCAGGAACCCTGGCCGCTGGCTGGCTCCTTTCCTGGGAGCTGGTTCGGGGTTCGGGGCAGAACAGGAACGGGTGGTCTTTCCCGGGCCTGCCGCCTCGGCTCTGAAGCAGTCCGCTCAGCGTGCCCACTCCCCGCAGAGACGTGGGCTCCTCCGCACGTCTCTCACCGTCTCTCGCCTCGCCCGCGCTCACGGCTGTCTTCCCCTCCAGGCGACGTGCAGATCCCGGGGCCCCCCACCAACGTGCACGCCTCAGAGGTCAGCAGGACCTACGTGGTCCTCAGCTGGGAGCCCCCCGTCCCCCGGGGCAAGGAGCCCCTGACCTACTTCATCGAGAAGGTACGGCTCCCCTCCCGAGACCACCCATCGCTGCGGCCGCTCTGTGCCGCGCGGTGGGCCTGGGAGGC